TATATATATATATATGTATGTATGTATGTATGTATGTATGTATGTATGTATGTATGTATATATGTATGTATAATCAGGTGCCATGTTTCCAGGTTCCTACCTCACTGATGGCCGTGTATGCTCTCCCATCTCCCACAACAATGTAGGCATGGAGATCAATGTTGTTCAGTGTTACTAGAGTCGATCCCACTGTCACAGTTCCGCTCACCTTACCACTAACACGCTGGGGAGCACCTGAAGAATTACAAGAATTACACAACAGATTTAAAGATTAGATTTAGAACTAGAAGTAGCATTAAATAAGGATTATTGGTAATGGTTCCGACCATCTGGTAGACAGTGGCGTCCATTTCCATAGAAGCCAGGCTCGCAGTGACAACAGAAGCCTGTGGCGTAGTCTGAACAAAATGCATTCTGAGCGCACTGCTGTTGAAATCTAGAATTAAAAGGAGGAAAATGAGTACATGTTTAGTACCACCAATTAAACTGTAGTGGTCCACATCTAGAAATGATAAGAGTTTGTATTAGTAATTACTGGTACTATTGCTGTCAGGTTGGGAGCAATAAGGGTCTGTATGAAAATCCAGAATGAATGCATCACTTTATTATGTATGTACTTATTTCACTAGTGTGCATGCTACACCAATTTAGAATTGCACTCCTGTAACACTGTAGGAGTCCGAATGGACAGAAAAAAAATTACCATTGATGCAGCTGAACTAGAAGTACAGTCATTTTTATTCCATGCACTGACACCTACATTACCTACAATGCAACTCAACCATCAACAGTTTGGTTGGAGAGCCGAGCTGTGTTATGCTACAGTAGCAGCAGCTACTATAATGAAGCCTCAAGCAAAGATAGCTACAAAGGTCTGATAAGCTCACTGCTAATGCTACACCCCCATACTCTTGTCATTTTTAGACGACATCTTCAGACCCAACCAGTGCTGATTGATTTATTCTAATCTAAACTCAAGTGACATCACTTGAGACAGTTTTTCTTTGCAAATCTCCCCTGGGAGCCATACAAGACTTTATACATTTTCTTTCTACAGGAAGGATTTCCCAAGACCTGCAAACAGACTTTGATGTGTAAAACTGGTGGAAATACTGATGATGCTGAGAAGATCTTTGCTTTTGCATTTTTCTTTAAAGTGAAAGGATAATTCAGACCCCCTCCCCCATCCCAATACTTTTTTTCTAGAGTCCCTAACTAAAACAACAACAAGAAGACAGGATATACTGTATGTATATTTCTGGCACATATCATGTTATCTGGTCTCCACATACCTGGCACATGTTTCTCTACTCTCTGGTGTGTAACGAATCACTGAGAGAAAGAAAAAATAGACATTTTTGTCGTTACGCACCGCATATATAATAAACAGATAAATATTGTAATCACTCCTATCCAATCATATTAACAGCTAACAGAACAACTGTACATGCAGATCAGTGATGATCTTTGTAATATGCATATTAAAGATTTTACCTTGATCTCTACTGCATTTTATTTTTATGGATTTACAGACAGTTTTTCACTGTCACTGAAGTTGGCTAGCTTTACTTTACACTCAGAACATAGACTTCTTTTGTTTCCCATGTTTAACCATACAAACATGCAAGTGTAAATGCAGACAAAACAGTAAATGCTGTTTCCAAAAATGGATGGATGGAAAGACAAAAGTGGACAAACTACAGGGAGAAGTGTAGCGTGACACACACAAAAAAAATTCAGTGCTGCTTCAGGAACTTTCAAAGGTATGTAAAATGTTTCAATGCCTATTTCAGAAGTCTAAACTTCGAAACGGGAAAAAAATCAATATACAGTATAAAGTTATGTACATAAACAGGATATAAAAGCTTTTACATGTGCACTTAGGGATGATTACTTTTTCCTTAAAAATCCTCTGAGAAAAAGGAAGAGATGCACTTGGATACTAATTTATTTGGAATAAACAAACAACTCTTGCTATCTGTTGCTGAACAGACAAAAATAAGAATAACACAGACATTCCTGTTAACATTTCTCAAACCATGGTAAACTACCATCACCTCAAAAGTGACTTTAAATGCCAATAAAATGATTCAGATGGAAATGGAAAGCTAAAACAGTATAGCAACTATTAGTGAAACATCTCAGGAATTACAAATCCTGACTGTGGTAACTTTTGCTGGATTCAGAAGACCACAAGGGATTTGCTTAACTTGCATCTCCCTCTGTTTGTGTTTTTGGCAAGTAGCTGATTCAAGATGAAAATACTGCATTCTATCAATCTGCAGGGGCATCACACCCTCACTCACAAGCACACTTACTGCAGACTGCACGTACACAGGAGACAAACCACTGTCCTTTCATAACACACACACCAGTGCTTTGGAGGGAAACCTACATACTATTATCACAATGTTTAGTATCGTAAACCCATGACAGTACTGAAAAATGCATGAGCGTGTATTAGGAAATCATGCTTGAAATGCACACCCCTACACAACTGTATATGGACATATACTACATATTGTACACTCATTTTCTTCAAAACTATTCTTCTCAAAAAGTCAAGGAAGATAGATTTTTTGGATACGAAACACCTTGTTTCTTAAACCTGTTTTGATCTGCTGACATATATTTCTTTTCATCTTCTAAATAAAATAATATTTCATTACTCTAAACTGAGATGAATGACATCTGTACACACACACAGACCTTTTTCCTTTTATAACCAGGCAAGCTGACTGAGAGCACATTCTTAATTACAGCCAAAGCCTGTGGGAGTAGTTGGAGGGGAGGGGATTTTGAGCACACACACCTGGGAGCCGCCCAGCACAATGGCAGTATTGTACTGCCAGCTGCTGAGCAGTACTGCAGCAGAGCATTTAGTAGTGTTGCCCTCTAGTTTCTCCAAGTGACTGGCCTTTCATATGTTTAGAAAGCATCTTCACATACATATTTATATTCACATATATGGTTTGTCCTTTACCTCCTGAGTCAAAATCAACATCTTCTGTATCCACGCTGACTATGTGACCTCCAGGGGAAAGACGTGGTTCATTTCTGTGAGGGGGGTACACATCCAGCACCTCCAGAGGAGCCTGCAGAGAGACATACAGGGCTATATTTAACCTCAAATATGTTTTTCCTGTTGTCATTGAGAGCCAAACCAATCATTTTAAACTCTTTACAGCTGCTATAAACCAGAGGGCTATGATCTGTGCATACTTTACACAGTGTATACAATAAGTATAGCATCATGATCTGCAGGTTTGCCAGCATTTTGTTGACACTAGCATACTTTCTCCTAAAGCAGAGTCCCATTACAACCACAGAATTTACAAAATGTGACTACAGTTTCAAGTAATTATTGCAAAACTCTGACAGCACTGACAGTTTAAATCCCTCTTTTCTCACTGTTCGAATGAACTCTTGTAACATAACACAAAATATGGCTTAGTAGCATTGCAATGTTTGTAGTTTAGATGTACAATATCAAAAAACATTAAAAAATGTGTTCAAACATGTTAAAATGCTCCTTTATGCCAATATGTATCTACAGTAACAAATTTTACAGTTGTCTTTATATCAACACTACCTGTGGTTGCTGTTCTTCAGTTTGCTGAGCACCTTCCTCTGCTGCCATCTCTGGAGGATCAGGGGGACGATACTGCCTCTCTGCTGGTTCTGAACCATACCTGGGTTCAGAGGTCAGTGGTACATCTTCACTGACATATGGCACCTGATGACCAGAATCTTCAGCAGGCGAGGAGGGAGTATCAGGACTTGCTGGCTGAAGAGGCCTTGAGTGGTCACCACCATCAGGAGCTGGCTGGAATTTGTCCCTGCCTGTCAGAGGGTAATCATCTTCTTCATGGATATCAGGGTTGAAGGTATTATCTGGATATTCCTCAAATTCAGCATGCTCAGGAGTGGTGGTGTCCTGGGAACATAACCAATGGAGGAGTCACAGGATGTTTTCCACACAAAAAACACTCTTGGCTGAAATTAAATTTGAATTGCATATAAAAATAAAATTACCAGGGAGAGGCCATGTCCTCCAGTTGGTGCAGTAGCCAGGAGGCCACCAGTGGATGCAGGAGCAATGTTGTCAAAAGAGTAACGGTTCCCAGTGTGGAAAAGCCAAACACCTGGAATTCCTGTATTACCAACCCTAAAGAGCAGGAAACGTTCAGTGCGAGTCCAGTGTGTGTGCATTTCCAACCACACAGATAATAAATGTTTTTAATAGTGGTGTAAGAAAATACAGTATCGTTACACTTGAGTATCATGATATTCTATTTTGTGGTAGTGTATCTATTCCCTAAAACACAGTATTGATTTTTAATTAATAGTTCACATGCTACAATGTTGGATGTTAAGGGACTGTGACATATGCAAATGCAGATCCCTGTTCTGATTGCACAAAAAAGTAAACATTTTTTACAGGAGGTTTTATGCATATGGTGGTGTGTTCTTTATTTTATGACAGTTTTTCTAAAACTAGAACATTTTAATAAATTGCAGTATATCTCCTTGTTTGCAGTATCGCATTATATCAAATCATAACCCTTGTATCGTGATACAGTACGTATCGTATCACCAGATTCTTGCAAATACACAGTCCTAGTATGTAAGAAGACTTAAGTTGTTTGTACTTACTGGTACAGGTATTTAACACTCTGCTCGTCACTTGTAACACTGTAGTATGGTCCCTCGGTTCGAGAGACAAAAAAATATGTAATTTCCCCTCTGCTGAAGCCAACTCTAGCAGGAAGCTCTATCTTAACATTATAAGGCTCCTATAAGCAGAAAAAGTACAAGAATAAAAACACTTTCTTGACACTAATTAGCTGTAAAACAAACTTAATTCAGGCAAATGCTTCAATGAAAAAAATAACCAAGCTAATCAAGTTGTGAATTAAGGCCCTGTGTTTACCCATTTTACCTTGGGTCGTGTCCCAAAGAAGTTCAGGCCACCTTCAGGGTAAAGGAAGAGAACATATGAGTCGGTCTCATCATAACCAATTACTGCCTGGAATGTATTGACCTAGAGGGAAAGGGAAGAGACAGTGTTAGTCTGAAACAGGATAAAAACAGGGACATAATCTAAAAGCATCCTCCCTCCTGATGCACAAGAGTCTTTGAAATCTGTTGATTTTTATTTAATAGTTTTTCGAACATAACATGCCTTCAGGGTTTTAAGTGTTTTGAGAAAACTTAATAAGGGGAAGTGGTCATTACAGTCAATTACAAGTTTTGCTTTTCCAAATTAGTTTTATAACTGTTATAGCATCAAAGATTTTAGTTTTAGCTCTTTAAAGTAAGACAGAGCTGTAGCAGCTTACTGGTATTAAGCTCTAATGCTAATTTTTTTTTAGGTCTGCTAGAGGGATGAGGTCATGTCCTGTGTGTATAGAGTCAGCTCAGCTCAACTAGCCTCAAATTATTCTAACACTCAATCGTCAAATTTAATCTTCATGCCTCTCTTCACACATCACCTCTCCTCCTCCTCCTCCTCCTCCTCTCTCATCTCTTACTCTGCTGGGATTCATATTTATTTCTCACCCTTCAACACCCCCTCCTCTGACCCCCATCATTTATTGACATACTGATCTGAATATTTTGGTTTAAAATATGTTTTACACAAATTAGGAGTAATTAAAATAGACAAGATGAAATGGGAATTTTTGGGAAACTTAAAATGAACTATTGTCCTTCTTGTAGAACCTCTTTTATAAACTGTGAATTGTGACTTGAGGAACTTATTTCCTACATGGATCTGGGAGCGCTCAGCCCACATTGCCTCCCAGAACCGCAGTCAAAAAAAAGATTTGGTGAACGCAGACTGTAAATGATCCCATGTTGTTTTCCCGTGGCACAGAATCAGATTATCTGTATACATACAGAGAAACCAAGATATGTACACACACACATTTCATTCTCTTCCAACCCCCAGCCCAGATGTTGAACTCCACAGCTGGCTTCCTGTGTGGACATCTTTCAAAATGATGTTACAACATGCAGACCAGACATTATTACAGTGTGAGACATGGGGTGCACACACATTCACAGATGGTCTTCCACCTACATTCAACTCATAGTAAACTATGTGTTCTTCATTGTTTACACAAACATCTTTAAACTATCTTGTTTTTTATGGACAGGGAGGATTTTGTAACCTACTGGCTCTTTGTAATTAGTGAAGAGGGGGGTCTTTCTTTTTTGTTTTCAGGGAAGGAGCAGAAGAAGTTGGAACTTCAAGAGGAATCTGCTTTGTTTGTCCTTAATTCTCCTCTTTAAATCTCTTAAAGTCTCTCTTACCATCCCTCTTTCTTTTTAGGAGAAGAGAAGATGACTTCAGAGGTGCTGGTGGATGGATTTTTTTAACAGTGGACAAAGTCATATTAGCTACATCCCCCTGGGTCCAGTCTTTATGCTAAGCTAAACTGTAGTGTAGTGTCATACTGTATTTGTGGTACAATTCTGCGCTTCACCTACATAAAGCCTACGCCATAGGCTGCGCAAGTGCATCACTCTGCAATTAGACCACCAAAACGCTAGTTGGCAGTGGTGTTTCTATGCCACTGTGTTACGTTTCTTCACCATCTACAAATAATGGTGACTGAAACTGAGTGGGTCACATTGGAGTTGAAACTAATAAATGTGGAACAGCAGTTATTTTAACTCAAATTACTACTGTTAGGTATTTTTAGTCAGATAGATATTGGATAAATACTTTATGTATTAGAAATGTTTAGTGGAGATAGGATGTCTAGTTAAACTGTTAAATGCTTAGGCATGCTTATGAGTTTCTGCAGGGTACTTCTGGTCAAGGATACCAGAGAGAAAAGTTGATGACTGTCAGCAGACAGGGTGTTCAATATTATTATTACGATGTGTATAACTGTAGCCTTAGCCATAATATGTTCCTATGTTCAAGTCACGACATGTACTAGAGGTCGTGGGAATGTTTTTAGTTACACACCACTTAACCAACAGACACACACATTCACACGTTGATTTGATTCATGTTTTGACTACTGCTATGGCCAGCTGCAAAGCTGGCAACAGAGACGTCTCGGTTGACGTTTCTGTGTAGTATGGGGCTAGCCCAACCGAAGTGATATAATGTATAGGCCTGGTGGGCTCAGGGTCTTTCATCTTACATCTGCCTGCGTGCATGTTGGAGGTGCAAGACACTTGAGCGTGTAATGTTAATTTTACCTGTGATCCTTTGAATAAATCAGCACTGTTTTGAAGTTACTTGGACTGCTTCGTCTCTTAGAGTTAGCATGGTAAGACGGACCATACCCTACAACGTGACACCGTGACCCGCGAGCCAGCTGAACTCTGCAAGACGACCAGTCCATTTCCTGAGTAATGGTCTTGGACCACTGACAGCGGTATTCCTGTGCCAGGCTGAGCTGGAGATCCGATATGCGGTCCTGAGCTGAATGCTTCCCTGATCAGAGAGTGACCTCCTGGTTGCAGTCAGAGCTGTGAGCAGTCCCATACATCAACTGGCTGGCCAGAAACGATAGGTAAGCGGAACCTTTGTTATACACAAACTCCGCACATTGAATTTATTCTAAATTAAAGTTGATGTGTGGAGCTGTCCACTCTCGAATTTGTTTCTAAACAGTAAGGTTAAAGAAACACAGTTTTTTTCTGTTTTTGAAGGCTGTGCTGGTTTGTTCTGTGTCACATGTGAAGTTAACTGAAGCACATAGTCTCATTTGAGGGGAAGTAAATGAGTGCTGTTGATCACAGAATTTGATGCCAATAAGGGCACGTAAAATTCATGTTTATAAGTGGATTTCTGCTACGCAGTTGTCTCCTAAAAATATTTTCCCATTTCCTTTTTAATTTCCCTCCGGCTGGAGCAGAGGCAAAGAAATGACTCTCTGATACACACACACACATGTGATAACAGGCAAAGGGAAAGTTGCTGGTCTCAAAGTGTGGGAGGTTAACTGTACAAAAGGCTAATTAAAATGTTTTTTCACAAGTGTA